CCCGGACCTCCTCAGCCCCCACCAGGAGGTGTCCAGGAGCCGGACAGGGCTGCTGGAGATGCGTCTGGATGTGAGACTGGCAACACGGTGCATTACAACGAAGACACACTTTCTGCGCTTGAAGAGGAGGCCCTCGCCTACACAGAATGCAATGCAATACGGCCGGAGCTTTCTCGACGTTCAGCGCGTTAAACTTTTCTACAATATTAGTCAGTTTGATGTTTTTCTCCAGGTTTGGTTTCTGGTTGTACGCATGGTTGCACTCCGGGCAGCGCACGTTGGCCGTGTCTTTGGCCCAGGCCTCGCTGATGCAGCCCCGGCAGAAGTTGTGTTTGCACGGCAGCTGCACGGGCTCCACGAACACATGCAAACAAATGGGACAAATGAGCTCCTCCTCGAAGCAGTTCCGCCAGTTCTCAGCCATCTCAACCAGTTGATCAGACATCCAGTTTTGAGTTGATCCGCTCGCGGAAGGCAAACATCAAGTTCTAGCACCGTCCCAACAAGGTTTCGCTCATTCTCGTGACTCCTTCATTTAGATCCAAGTGTTAGGTCAGTAGATGAAGACCATACGAGCACAGAAGCCCCAGAGAAACAGCTGTTGATCAGACCCAAACATGCCAAGGGAGCGTTTCTGCTCCTGGCAAAGTTAGTCAGCAAAAGTTAGTCAGCAATCAAATACCACAGCCGGGCGTGAAAGAAGGAATCTGGCGTTCAGGGTTCTTTCTATTAACGAGATCAACATCGACAAAAGAACACTAATTACGGTGATAATTTAGGGCGAGCGAAACATGACAGAAAATTGCTCAACTAATCGAAAACGCTATTATGAAAAATCATAACCACGGTGTTAGTTTTAAGAACTTTATATCCGATTTGTAATAGCTTTTGACAGTCTGCGAACTGAATAAAAGCATAATACGCAGTATGAATAGTTTATTACCACAATAATAATAATAATTTAATGTATGCAAAGTTGTTTGTGATCCAAATAGTGGCACATTTACTTTCGTCTTTGTGTTGGGCTACACATTTCACCCTTCTGAATGAATGACTATTATTAAAAAAAAATATCCAAGCAATATATTAAAAATTGTTACTTTACCTGTAAATACCGTTATTGACGCTATTCTTCAAAGACACCGTACATTAAGCCATTTATCGGTCAAAACAACCGATAACCGAGTAGCAGCTTGAATATGTGTTAAAAAAAAGTATCGGTCAAACCAATTATCAGTGTATTTCCAATTACGGCACCCAAATCAAACCCCAGAGACAGACGGAGCACGCGATAAATGTCTCAGTGACAGATGCCCGACTATCCGCTGAAAGATAACTAAACTACTAGTTAAAGGCTACGACATCGTCTAATATCCAGTGTCAGTCAAGATAAGATCAGTTAAATCCACATGAAAATGCCTTCTCGTCGGAAGCATATAGTATTTTGCGGAGTTTAAAACAGGAAAAGGGTGACGGTCCTTTCGTAAGCAGCCGTAACTTACAGTCATTCACTGAAGCAGTCCATCACGCATTTGATTTGTGCCCAGGGCACATGACATTTGCCCTGCTGGAATTATAATAAAGTAGACCTGAGCCTCGGTGCTGCTCGTGTAACACTATATCGATAGGATTTCTGTCGCCTGCAACTATAAGAGAGGCAGCCGGTAGAACTAGAAAGACTATTTTATCTATTATAGTGACATGACTTTAAATGAACATACAATTGACGCGTATACATGTATGGCAACATGCTCTCGTAGCATTAAACCACAAAGAGCTGCGATTTTATCATCAAAGCTATTCTCTCGCTATCTGTGTTGGTTAAACATTACAGAATGATCCTCAACCTGATCCCTGTCCATGTTTCGCCTGATGTTTACCTGGCCGCACTTACCAGAGACGGATTGCATTCATTTTTAGAGCCTAATGTCATGTATTTTATTTTGACGAAGCGAACTCGCCTAAAATATTCATGTATTAAAGCCAGATACCTTTGTTGCTCTTAAAGGAGACGATATCGTTTGGCCCTTGTTATCGCTCATCAGCCATCTTGTTTTCCTGTTTAACGCGAATTAAAAACGACGTATCTGTTTACTTTTCCTCTCGTTTGTATGTCCTTTACATAGACGGCTCACGTAAAGCAGAAGAGATCCAGTTCTGCAGTCACCCAGGGATTTCACGCCCTTTAAAATGTTAGTCCTGATTGAAAACAGATGCTTCAGCGCCGTATTCCAATCTGCGTCTGTTATTATTTATGATATTTCCCCCCTTTCAAGCTAATCCTAGATGAGAGGAATGCAGGCACAGGACTGCAACTCAGGATACAGTTCACATACTCCCCCTTCCCTGATCACGTGATCAGCGCGGAGTTCGTACATAAAAGTGGGTGGGGTTATTAATCAGGGGTGGGGTTTTATTTAAAGGAACACAGCTCTACTTTTTTTTTTTGTGAGCTGTCAAACGCTCAAACTCGGGATTCTCGCCAGTAAATAAGCCGCTTTTATCAATAGCGATGGCTTAATAAGTGTTTAAGTACAGGAACGTGCAATTACATTTATTTAGAGGAAAAAACAAAAGATTTATTTAGCAACTTACCTTTTTAAGAACAGCTGGTTCAGAATTCAGGTTTGAGGAGTCGGTGCATGTAATTTACAATAGTAAGTCTGTTAAAGTGGTCATATGATGTTGCTAAAAAATAACATTATTTTGTGTATTTGGTGTAATGAAATGTGTTTATGCGGTTTAAGGTAAAAAAAAACATTATTTTCCACATACTGTACATTATTGTTTCTCCTCTATGCCCCGCCTTTCTGAAAAGCTCATCGGTCTGAAAAAGCGGTGTGCGCTGTGATTGGCCATTTCACAACGAAACACAGCGTCACACACGGCGGCTAGAGTGAGCAACAGCCGGTGGGCTTGAGAACGGTGCGGCCAGCAGATTCGACGAAGGAGCAGCAGGTGGGATTGCGGCAACCACATGTGACGACCAGGGGCTGGACTCTGCTTCGTCCACGGTGAAAGCCGATCCGGCGATACACAGCGCGAAGTTGATGTATT